TGAGACTTTGCTGAATACAAATATATGTATTTTATTGCAGTAAAAGCAAACAGTATTATGACATTGACAGTTAAAATGTCATGTAGAACTAAAAAAATTAAAAAAATCTTATTTTCTCCCATTTTTTTCATATTAAATTATGTTTCATAGCTAAATATTTGATATTAAATGAAAGCCCTGTTTCCCCTGAATAAAATGATATATAATAAGGGTGCGTGCATTTACTATGAAAGAGGTGAATTACGGTTGGACAGACATGTAGCGCAAATGCCAGGTTTTGTTTACATTTTGTTTTGTTCACAACGTATACATTTGGCTCAGTCCTTAACCCCTTCAGGACGGGTGACGGACAAGGTCCGTCACAGAGGGGAGACCCTTAACGACGGGTGACGGACCTCGTCCGTCACGCGGTAAAATTAACCCCGGATCGCCGCTATCGCGGCGATCGCGGGGTTAATGGTGCTCCGGTATGCCTCTGCATTAGAGGCATACCGGGAGCACCCGGTCAGGCTGCCCAGCATATGTGCTCGCTCTGACCGCAAGTCAGAGCGAGCACATGTGCTCTGTATACTCACCTACCGGCTCCCTGCACTTCCGGGTTCTGTGTGAAGTGCAGGGAGCCGGATCAGTGCTGATCCTGCCCCCTGCTGGAAAAAAAAATAAAGTCAATTTAAAGTGTCCCCCCCCTTACCCATTTTAATAAAAAATTAACCCATTCCCTGCCAATTGATCACTGACTACAGTGATCAATTGGCAGGGATTACATTTTACTATGATCTGATTTTTTTTTTTAACCCCTGAGGGTTAATTCTTTTTTTTTTTAACCCTCAGGGGTTAAATTAATTAAATTGATTAATTAAATTATTTTTAAATTATATATTTAGATAGCTGGGGTGGGTGGAAGTTAGTGGGGAATTGGGGGATTTGGCGTTAGGCTAACTAGGGGTTAACGTTAAAAAAGTTTTAAAAGAAACTTTAAAAAGTTAAAAATTAAGCTTAAAAAAATGTTTTAATAACATTTAAGTAAAAAAAACAAAAAAAACACACTTTACCTAGTCCAAATAAAATTAACCCCTTCCCTGCCAGTCGATCACTGCCTACAGCGATCAAATAGAGATCACAGTATTATACTGTGATCTAATTTTTTTTAACCCCTGAGGATTAATTTTTTATTTATTTTTTAACCCTCAGGGTTCAATTTATTTAATTAATTAATTAAAATATTTTATAACTATGTATTTTGCTAGCTGGGGTGGGTGGGAGTTATGGGAAAATGGGGAATTTACTGTTAGTGCTGCGTACTGCTAGTTAGGGGTTAACGGTAAAAAAAAAAGCTTAGAAAAATGTTAAATCTGTAAAAAAGTTTTAAGAAAGTTTAGGAAAGTTAAAAAAAATTTATAAGCAAAACAAAAGTTTAAAAACTAGTTTTTAAAAGTAAAAAAAGTTATAAAAAGTAAAAAAATACATTTTAAAAACGCTCATTACCACTACACCTGGAACAAACTAGAGAAAAAATTATCCCACGCCAGGGTTCAAAATATGCCTTTTGAATTAACCCAGAGTGTATTCTTTAATAAATAGTATGTGTTTGTGGGGAAGTTTCAATAACCAACCGTCTAAACTATTCCAAATTGGAACATGGACACAGCATAAAACTTCAAAGTTAGAAAAAAACTGAATGGCTGCGTCTCAAATGCGCCCCTTCAACATCCACATATACCTGGCAAAGGTACATACGAGGGTATTGCTGTACTCAGCCGACATAGCTGAGCAACATATGAAGTATTATACAGTCATAGCACACATAAGGTTTGCAAAATATGCTGCGCAAACTCACTTTGTATGTCAAAAAGGCAGAAAAAATGCTTATTACCACTACACTTGGTACAAGCTAGCGGAAAAATGATCCCGCGCTAAGGTTCAAAATATGCCTTTTGAAATACCCTGGGATGTCTTCTTTAAGAAATAGTATGGCTTTATGGGGTATTTGGATTATATAGCCTGGTAAAATACTCTAAAATGGGACATAGGCACAGCATAAAAATTCAAAGTTTGAAAAAAACTGGAATGGCTGTGTCCCAAATGTGCCCCTCCGATGTCCACACATACCTGGCAAAAGTACATACAGGGGTATTGCTGTACTCAGCCGACATAGCTGAGCAACATATGAAGTATTATACAGTCGTAGCACACATAAGGGTTGCAAAATATACTGTGCAAACTCACTTTGTATGTCAAAA